TTTTTTTGAGACAGGCTCTCCCTGTAGGCCCAGCTGACCTGGAACTTACTATGTAGACCAGGTTGGTCTTGATCTTACAGATCTGCCTCTGCCTCCCTAAGTCATGTGCCACCATACCTAGCTCAACAATTATTTTTAAACTGTTTCCATTTTTAGAGATAAAGATGTAACTGAACAGCAGCCAGAATTCATCAAGCCTACCATTTTGGGTAAGTCAAAGTCAATTATGTAGTCTAGATAACAAAGCAGTCAATTATATTTAACTATGGAATAAGGTCATGGATATAATTTAACTCAACAAATCTCTGTAATGGGTTGGGATGTAGCTTAGTACTTGTCTAGCACGCGAGGTCCTGGTTCAATCACCAGCACTGAAAAAAGGTCTCACTTGTAGCAAAAAGGCCAGATGATCAAACTTGCTGAGGACATCAGACACAAGGACCTTTTCAGCCCCTCCTTGCCTGCAAGGCTCTAAAGAAAAATGATTTGACCACCGCCCCCTAAACAAGAAAGAAGTCTCAAATGCAGATCAGTACAGACATGGGAAAACATAATTATAATCTATTCTTAGCCCTAATACCAATGATCATAACCTCAAATCATGTATTATAACAACTTGTCTACTGAGAATGCTCAATAACTGGCTCTCAAAATATAGCATGACCACCTTGGAGAGCATTTGAATTAGTAAATAAAACAAGCAACAAACAAACAAAATTCTTTTCCTGTGTGACAGTTTCTCACTATGTAGCTCAGGCTAGCCTAGAACTCATAATCTTCCTGTCTGCCTCCCCAGTGTTGAGATTATATGAGTGCATCATCATACCTACTTTGAAATTAATTTAAGGAAAATTCCATACATAAACTCTGTAAGTGTGCTGGGGGTGTAGCTGAGTGACGGAGTACTTAGAATGCTGGAGACCATGGTTTGATTCCCAACACCACAAAAACAAAATAAAACAAACATCCAGAGAGCTGGCGAGATGGCTCTGTGGGTAAAAGGGACTTGCCACCAAGCATGACTACCTGAGTTAAATCCCAAGGACCCACATGGTGGAAAGAGAGAACCAACTCATGAAAGCTATCCTCTGACCTCCACACAGACAGGTACCATGGCACACACACAATAAATAAAAATGTAAACAAAAAAGCAAAACACTAAGAAAATATCATCTAAGAAAACTCCAAAATAGTCATAATAACAAATAACCCAGTATTACTTAACCTGAAGACTTACCTATTGCAATAGACTCAGACCTACTTTATGAAATTAGTTTCTAAAACCACTGTTAAGTTGGTTTCAAGGATGTAACACTAGAAAGGTTAACAAGGCTCCAGTGGATGAACCCACACTGAAGGACATGGGACATAAATTTGACTCAAAAGGCCTTAATATACACGAGAGCGTACATGAAATCCAGTGGGGGGTTGTTGGGGGCTCTAAGAAGGATACAGATAGGAGAGAAGTCTAAATGTGATCCAAATATATTGTATGAAATTCACAAAAATTCAATTTTTTTATTTTTTATTTTTATTTCATGTGTATGAGTGTATTGCCTGCATGTATGAGTGCACTCGTGTTGTGCAATGCCGTGGAGATCAGAAGAGGGCTTCAGATTCCCCTAGAACTGGAGTTAAGGATGGCTTATAGCTGCCATGTGGGTGCTGGGAATAAAACTCGGGTCCTCTGCAAGAGCAATCAGTGTTCTTAACTGCTGAGCCATCTCGCCAGCCCCCTAAAAATAATTAAAAAAAAGAAATTTGGGGAGTGGGAAGGCTCAAGCGATGGTTCAGTGGTTTAGAACACTTGCTGCTGTTGCACAGGACCTGAGTTCAGTTCCCAACACCTATATCAGGCAGGTCATAATTGCCTGTAACTCAAGCTCCAGGGGATCTGACAACCTTTTTTTTTTTGCCTCCTTGGGTACTCACATAAATGTAATGTACATGTATGCATGCATACACACACACAAAATAAAAATAAAGAAATCATGATTCTGGGACCAGCAAGGTGGCTCAATGAGTAGATGTACTTGCTGTGCAAGCCTGGCAACCCCAGTCTGGATTGCTGAAACCATGTAAATGTTGATGAGGCACATGTTGTAATCCCAGCAGTCCTACTACAAGATGGGAGGCAGAGACAGGAGCCTCTTGGATGCTCAAGGGACAGCTAGAAGGCAGTGCAGTAGCAAACAAGACAGACCTGGTCTCAAACAAGTGTAAGGTAAGAACTGACAATCCAGGTTGTCCTTGACTGTCCCATTTGTGCCATGACACACATAAGCCCTCATATAGGAAAACACACACACACACACACACACACACACACACCATTTAAAATTCAGTTTAAAATTCAGGATACTGTTCTAGGGATATGGCAACAGTGGTAGAATATTTGGCATGTATGCACAAGAACCTGGTTCAAATCCTGACCACTGCATAAACTACATGTGGTGGCAGAGGCCTATAATCCCAGCACTTGAGAGCTGGAAGCAGGAGGAAGTTAAACATTATCCTTTATTACTGGTGAGTTTAGGCCAGCCTGGGCAACATGAGAACTTTCCCCCCAAATAATAACAATCACTCTTGGGGACTTTGCTACCTCTGGGAAACAACTGGCATTTTTGTGGATTAGAAACCTAAAAACTCTGGTTTTGCTGACTCTACAATTCCACACTAAGAAGTAATTATGGACAACTGAAAAGATTTGAGTAAGATGTTGTACAACATTATTTATAAGTATGTAAAACTGAAAACAAGATAAAATTGTTTACAATTAAAAAAAATAAACCCGCATATCTAGTACAATTTAATGGTACATATTTTGGGCAAATAATTATGAGATTGATATACAGTGGAAGATTCAACAGTGCTTAACCCAATTATTAAGTATGCCAGGTGTGGTAATGCTCTGTGTTATCCCAGCACTTGGGAGATAGAGGCAACAGGATTAGGAGCTGAAAGTCATTCTAGGCTACATAGTAAGTTGGGGGCCAATGTGGAGTACATGAGACCCTTTCCCAAAAACAAAAATACAGGCCTGGAGAGATGTTCAGCTCTTAAGAGTTCAAACTGCTCTTGAAGAGAAGCTGGTGCCCAGCACTCACAACCCATAGCGCACAACTGCATGTTAATTCTGGCCTCTGTGGGCACCCACATTCCCATGAATATTACCCGTACATAGATACATGCACAAATAGGTAATTAAAAAATATATCTTAAAAAATACAAAGAGGAGATGTTCAGTGGTTAAGGGCACTTGCTGCTCTTGCAGAGGACCTGGGTTCAATTCCCAGCACCCTCAAGTTGACTTACAACTGTTTGTAACTCAGATTCAAGGGATTTGGCATCCTCTTCTGGCCTCCACAGGCACTGCATGTGTTAAGTACACAAACATACATGCAGGCAAAATACTCATAGACATAAAATTAAATAATAAATAAAATCTTAAAAAATACAAAACATATGAAATCAAAACAAAGCATTAAGGGAGTATCATGTGTTCACATTAGGAAATAGAGGGATTATGGAAATACAGTGTTTGGGGTAACTAATGTCAGTCTTCTAACAACAAATCATAGCAAAAAATGAATGATAAAAACATACTTCTGCTGGGGGTACAGCTCAGTTGTGACAAGCTTTGGTGAGACAGGGTCTAATGCAGCCCAGGCTGGCCGTCAAATCTTGATCCTTGTCCACCTCCTAAGTGCTGGCGCTTTGGGCACGGCTTTGAAGGTGTTAAGATTCTTAAGATTTTGTTGTTATGTTTTGTTTGTTCTTTTCTGAAATGAGAAATGGCTCATGCACCGATTTTAATTTTTAAATTAGGATATAATAATAGGTGTGAGTATCTATATCCTGTTATGCTTTTTTAAAAAACTTAAAACTTTTTAAGCTGGGAATGGTGGCACAGACCTTTAATCCCAATAGTTGGGCGGCCGAAGCAGGCAGTCTACATATCAAGTTCTAGGCCAGCTAGGGCTACGGGAGACCCTGTCTCAAAACAACAACAACAAAAACTCCACCAAAAACTCAAAGCAAATCAGAAGCACTACACTGGACATCAAAAAAAAGTTCACTTTGTTTTCACCCACAAAAATAAAAACTGAAAACAACTTCAAAGAAAATGAACCATATGACCGCAGTCTATCCTGAAACCCTGAAGCCACATCCCATTTAGTCTCGGTCTTTCCAGTACTATAACCACGTCAATGCATGGGTTATTTGCCACATGACTGGCAAGCTGACTTCTTTCATAGGTTCTTCATTATAGTTAGTCTAAACAACAGACCAAGGAACTCAATCCACAATTTCCTGAGAAAGAAGGCTGAAATGACATAAAAACTAAAAATAAGTCTCAAGGAAATTTCTGCATTAGCAAAATAGAAAATGAAATTCAACAGTGGCCTCGGAATTCTTTTCAAGAAATACCTCTGTGCCCCACCATACCCAACAATATACTATTCATAATCCATACCAGTTTGATCGGTATTTGCCAAGGAGGTTTAGAACTGGCGTGAAGAAGGTCCCCTTCCCTCCCCATCTCTTTGCAGTGGCCAAAAGAGTACAGGATGCAGAAAGCATAAATGTTAAGTAACCTCTTCCATTTCAGGAGAAAGTCAGCAGAAAGGTCAATGGAGCCACAGAGGCAAAGGTGAAAGGCTGAATCCTAATCGCACTTGAGTCCCTAATCCAGGGTGTTTCTGTCTCAGATATTCATCTAAAATTCTTCTTGTTTAAGGTTTTCACTCTTCTGTGTGCAATTAAACATCCTCAAACATACATAATCAGACAGCTTTCACTTTGCAGTAAAATCAAGACTATAGCAGTTGGGAGGAAAGGCAGTGAGACTGTCTCAAAGTAAATAAATCTACCATATATTCATATTCTACTCCATCAAGAAACTTGCTTTTTGCCATCCTTTGAAGGATTTGATTAACAAATGCACCCAAACCAAGTCTGAGGCATGTTTTCACAATCTGATATTTCAGCAAAAGTAAAGTGTTATTTTAAAACAAGGCAGTCTTTAAAGGACCAGACAGTCCAATAACTTGGATTTCATCAGACACCAAGGTCTCTACTGTAATACTCAAGTCTTCCAAGTCCAGAAGGAGCCCCGGATGACAGGTACACTACAAGCATGATTTTGTTTCAATACCTCTGAGACACAAAAAAGAATAAGCTAGCTATTTCCTGACTCAAACATCTAAGGTGAATCATTTAACCACTCAGACTCTGGTTCTTAGTTTACAACAGGGAGCAATAATTTTCACTGTCCTGAGGCCCATACAGCTGTTCTATGGATCAAATGAGAGTGGATGTAGGAATACCTTATAAAGTATGATGTAAGTATTATTATTGGTAATTTTACTGAATTGTGATTACAAAATTTCAACTTCACAGGAGTTTCTATTAATTTATCCACTAGATTTATATTATGATTCCGAAGCTGCTTCTACTTCTCTATCACAGTTGAAATATATTATGGCAAGGATTCCAAAAGAGCTTACGAACACGAAACCTAGGTGCATACTGGCTACATATAACAAATGTTGATCATTTTAAAGGCACAAATACATTTTTTTTTTTAGACAGGGTCTCCCTAGTCCCAGCCCACCTAGAGTTCACTATGAAGACCAGGCTGGCCTAGATCTTACAGAGATCTACCTGCCTCTGCCTCTCGAGTGCTGAGATTAAAGGCAAGCACTACAGCGCCCAACATTACAAATAAATTTTTGTACCATAAGAAAAATTACTGTAAAGGTGCACTCTGTATGAAAAAGAAAACACATACATTGAGCTTTTCAAGAAATACTTTTTACTAGAGAGATATCAATCTGATTTTATCCAATTTTATAAACTTTTTGAAGTACTAAAGATGCCTCATTCTCAAGTGACAGCATTATATGGAAGGTTCAGTATTCTTTAGATTTGAAACATTTTATTTACTATTTTTATGTGTATGTTCCTGTGTGAGTTTATGTGTACCACATACAAGCAGGAACCTATGGAAACTAGAAGAGGGTGTTGGATCCCCTAAAACTGGAGTTATAACCAGGTGTGAGCTGCCATGTGGATACTGAGAACTGAACCCTGGCACTCTGCAAGAGCAGTAACCACTTAACTACTCCAGGTTCTGGAAGTTTTAGTGTAACTCAGAATTTTTAAGACTTTGAAAATCTCTCAGAACAAACTTGCCTCAAATTCAGTCACATCTCTGTAAGAAGGAAAACTTCCAACAATCAGGTACATTAACTTCTGTGCACTTTTTTCACTTTTTCGGACACAATTAAGAAAAGAGCCTCCAAACTTCTCCAGAAGAATTTTCCCGGTGCCACTGAGAATCTGATGCCTCTCTTCTATCAAAGGCATGGAAACGCTTGTGTCTGAACGAAATATATTCCGAACTTGATCAAGGCTCACTGTGGCATAGTAGGAGGCAGTAGTAATTGGAATCCCTTTAAAGAGAAAATTCAGAGGTTTTATAAGATGCAATTCATAATGAAGTCAAAGGAATACTACAAAGGCCAGGCTGGTGGCCCACTGAGCCATCTTTAATCCCAGCAACTCTGGAGGCGGAGCAAGCTGAGTTCAAGACTAGCCTGGTCTACATAGACCCTGTCTTATAAAAACAAACCAACTGGGGGCTGGAGAGATGGCTCAGCAGTTAAGAGCACTGGCTGTTCCTGCAGAAGACGGGCGTTTGAATCCCAGCACCCACATGGCAGCTAACAACTGTAACTCCAGCTACAGGGGATCCAACGCCCTCTTCTGTCCTCCATGGGCACTGCACATACCAGTGCACTAACACACATGCAGGCAATACACCCGCACACATTAAAAAAATAAATAAATAAACCAACCAAACCCAAGACAAAAACAAATGAGTGCTATACAAATCCATCAAAGGTGGATGAATAACAATCAGAATCAAACCCCACATACTTACTTATTCAATCACTGCTTAAAACTGCAGATAACATGTCACATGTCTCTTCATTACATAAAACATTTTATATTCTGTCCTTTGGTTCTTCAGGTGGAATTCATTTTTCATTTTTTTTCTGTGACAGGGTCTCACTCTGTATGAGACTGGCTTGAAATTATATAGGCCAGGTTGGCCTGGGACCCACAGCAATCCTCCTGTCTTAGCCAGAGATCATACACTTGATTCACTGTATTCGATTTATAGTGGCATTCTTGGGGGCTAAGTAGTTAAAAGCACTGGCTGCTCTTGGAGAGGACTTGGGTTCGAAACCCAGTATCCACAGGATGGCTAAAAGCTATCCCTAAGTCCAGTTTCTATGGACCCAATGCCCTTTTCTGACCTCTGCAGGCATTGCATTACATTGGTGCACTTACGTGGATGCAGGCAATACTCATACACATAAAATAAAAATAATAATAATTTTTTTTTTAAGTGGTGCGGGGGATGGTGGTGAAGGCCTGTAGTCCCAGCACTTGGGAGGCAGAGGCAGGCCGATCTTTGTGAGTTCAAGGCCAGCCTAGTCTACATAGTGAGTTCCAGGCCAACTGGAACTACAGGAAGACCCTGTTTCAAAAAGACCAAAAAACAAAAACAAAAACAAAAACAAAAACAAAAAAACCCATAAATAAATAAATAATAAATAAATAAATGAAGTGGCATCTCTTTAGAAACTCGACTTCCAAAGCTATGTTAAGTGCGCGCGCGCACACACACACACACACACACACACACACACACACGCGCGCGCGCGCGCGTCTCTTTCCACTGAATGCCCCTCAGTCGTGCTATCATTGTTCAGCAGCGGTCTGGTCGTCTTACACAGCTTCCGGTCCCCACGCGCTCGCGGATGTGAGAGCAGGTACCCACCTTCGTCCAGGGCTCGGTTCACCGCGGCGCACAGGGCCCAGTAGCCGCTGTAGGCTGTGCCCCGGTACCTCACCACACACTTGTGCTCCTCCTGCTCCGACCAGAAGGAGAAGTTGAGCGAGTCCACCACGAACACCCAGTTGAGCGCGGCCTCATCGGCAGCCCGCGGATTTAGCTGGTGCAGGTCCTTCCAGCTCTCCAGGCGCCACGCAGAGGGGGCGGCCAGTAGCAGCTCGGCGGTCCTGCGCACGCCCCCGAGGTCCACGAACACGTCTCGGCTGTTTTCCGCCACGAACCTCCCCGACTCCCGGGGAGGCAAGGGCGCCTCCATTCTGCCGCGGTACCGGAACTTTCGCTCTGGAGCCCCGCCCCACGGCCAGGCGGAGGACCTGGAACCGCCAGCGCCGAGCGCCCCGCCCCGCCCACCCGCTGGCCCTCACGGACGGACGTGGTCTGCGGTGGCTGCACTGCCCGGGGACTTTCCCAATCTCTGTCCCGCGGCTCCGGGGCCCTGCTTCCCACCCGACCTTTGACCAGGAAGCCGAGTGGAGGCCCGGGTCGCGGTGATGCCAGCGCTCCTTGTCCGCGACCTCGCCCGCTGCTGCCCCGCTTTTCTCCTGGAGGGAGAAGTCTAGACAGGCCTGGGACTGCTGGATTGCGACGGGCTTTGTGGCTGCCTCCCGGTGGGTGCCTTAAGTCTTCCTGAGGCCTCGAGGCCCATTTAGAGGCCAAATGAACGTGTAGGATTAGTTGAAAGACTCGGAGAAGTAGAGGGAAGAATTAAATTGTTAACATGTGTCTGGCCTGTGCTTGCATAGTTTCTGAATCTTGCCAGGGTGACTGGTGACTGATGATCCTTTTCCTAGCCCCTACCCGCTTCCCCCACAGCAGTGACTTGGGCTGAAATCTAAGCCCTGTTACTCAGTTTTGCAAAGCCCAAGGAGTTAAATGAACCAATCACAAACGCCAGTCATTCTGGTCCTCACGTAGTAGCGACTATCAATGACTACTGAGAAGGCAAATAGATGAAATGAGTAATACTCGAAAACTCCCCAACATTATAACATACTTCATTAATTGTGGGGTCCACTAGTCAATTTAGTAATGATCTAGTGTTGCCTAGGGGTGCAAAATTAGTATGTATTTACGTTCTTTGGAACTTTAAATCTCCATAGCATAAAATGTTGACACCTTAGAAAATCACTTAATAAAACATCACTCAGGCTGGAGCATGTAACTCAGTAGTAGAGCACTTGATCAGCATGCATGAGATCTTAGAGTACCTGACCTGGCAGAGATGAAGAGATTCTAAAGAGACACTGTGCCTCTCAATCTTATCAGACCCTTGGAACAATGGACCCCAAGGAAGGAGGATTTCCCCAGGAATCTCATGTTGAGAGGAGGAAAAGGTTCCAGCTGGAAACGGAACTTGTCTGTCCAAAAGAGCTGGAGCAGTGTTCTAACAGCTTGTCAGACCACGTCACAGGATGAGACTAAAACCCAGACAACGATGAGTCCATGTACATAGCCTTGGCCCTCTTTTTAAACTTCCCTCTCACTTCAGAACCCTAAAGATGGACTTGGGGGATCGCCTTGTCCATCTTCCCAACATGGCCACATTGAATCAATTTCCTTTTGTCCTGCTTTCCACTATGAATTTGGCTCTTTTAATTGGCTTATGAGGATGGGTGACCAAACTGGTTTGGGGCACAGGCTGTGATCCCCAAATTTGATAATTCTAGATTCAATCCCTGATAGAGGCCAAAAAAAAAAAAAAATCATTTAGTGAGACATGGTACATACCTTTAATCCCAGCAGTGTGGAGGTAAGAGTCAGGGCAGGTCAATGAATCTCTGTGAGTCTGAGACCATCCTGATCTACATAACAAGATCCAGGCCAGCCCAGGCTCCATTGTGAGACCCTGTCTCAAAAGCATTTTTTTTTTTTTTTCAGGACTTGGGGTGTAATTTTTTGCAGGGATCTGGTTTATCAAGTGTCAGGGCATAAATCCTTCACTGCCAGGAAAACAAATTGGGAGCCACCTCAAAATATTGATAAAGTCTTTTCCTTGGAATTTTGGGGGGGATTTAGAGTTTTTAACAGCTGTGATCCCGGGGAAACAGGTCTTTATCCTGTGAGTTTCTACAGTTTGGTAAGAAAAAGAAACTCCAAAGATTTAACTGACTTTTCCCCTTGGAACCTGTCAGTAGCTTGGGACAGCACATATCTGTAATCCCACAACTCAGGAGCAGCAGCAAATAGTTTATTCCACATACTATACTCCAGGCCCAGGAGGGCTACATTGTGAAACTAGGTCTCCAAAAGAAAAAGAGAAAAAAAAAAAAAAAAAAAAATCACTAGTTCATTACAATGACTGAATAAATGCAAATGTATTTTTCTCCTTTTTTAAAACTTGGTTTTAGTACTGAGGATCTAACATAGGGCCTTGTACATGCTGGGCATACATATACTCTACCACTGATTCATATTCCCCAACTCAAATAAATGTAAATCTGATGGTTTGAAATTTTTTAAAGGTTGAGAGCCAGCGAGATGGTGCAGCAGGGTAAATCCACTTGCTGTGCAGACAGACAACCTAAGTTCAATCTCTGGAACCCACATAAAGTTGGAAGAAGAGAACCATCTACACTTCTGACCTTCACATTTTTACTGTGACATGCATGCCCACATACACACACATAGTAGTAATAGCAATAATGATTATTTCCTGAGAGGATCTCACTTATTTAGTCCTGGTGGGCCTGGTGGGCCTCCCTATATAGTGCAGACATACCTCAAACTCACAGAGATCCATCTGCCTCTGCCTCTGAGTACTGGGATTAAAGTTGTGCCACCATGCCAGGGTAATAATAATAAAAAGAAAAGAAACAGGGGCTGGAGAGATGACTCCACAGTTAAGACTATTTTCTGTTTGGTTCCTAGCACCCATATGGCAACTCAAAACCACCAGTATCTTCAGTTCTAGGGATCCCAACACCCTCTTCTGGCCTCTATGGGCACTGCATACATGTGCACATACCTGTAGGCTAATAGTCATAACACAGAAAATATAAATAAATTCTTTTAAAAAAAGTAAAAGTTTAAAAACATAGTGACACTGGGGATGAAACCCAGATCTTCATGCATGCTATGCAAGCATCCTACCACCAAGCTGCTGGTCATGATCCTTAGATTTGTCCTTTCACTGCAGCAGCTATCTTGGGAATCAAAGAAATTGATTGTCAAGAAAATATAGCATTCTACAAAAGAATCCAGGGGGTCAACTAGTTTGTCATTTTTTTTCTCACCGAGGTTGATTTTAATTTTTTAAAAAATAGAGGTTTGAGTGATGGCTCACTGGTTAAGAATACCAGCTATTCTTGCAGAGGACCCAGGTTTCACTCCCAGTTTGTTTGTCTGGTACATTACATTTATTGATTTATATATATTGAACCAACCTTGTCTCTCTGGGATTCAGCCTACTTGGTCATAATATATGATATTCTTAACGTGTTCCTGAATTTGGATTACAAATATTTTGTTGAGAATTTGTGCATCTATGTTCATTAAGAAAATTGGTGGCTCTTTCCTTTCGCTGCCACCATGCCATCCAGACTGAGGAAGACCCAGAAACTCCGGGCCAACACTGGAAGCACCCAGGAGGCCGGGGTAATGCTGGTGACATGCATCACCACAGGATCAACTTTGACAAATATCATCCAGGTTACTTTGGGAAAGTTGTTATGAGGCATTACCACTTAAAGAGGAGCCAGAGCTTCTGCCCAACTGTCAACCTTGATAAATTATGGACATTGGTCAGTGAACAGACACCAGTAAATGCTGCCAAAAATAAGACTAGCGTTGCTCCCATCATTGACGTGGTGCGATTGGGCTACTACAAAGTTCTGGGGAAGGGAAAGCTCCCTAAGCAGCCCGTGATCCTGAAGGCCAAATTCTTCAGCAGAAGGGCTGAGGAGAAGATTAAAAGTGTTGGGGGTGCCTGTGTCCTGGTTGCTTAAAGCCACACGGGAGGTTCATTAAATGCTAACATTGTTTTCATGTGAAAAAAAAGGAAACTGGTCTCCAATTTTCTTTTCTGTTATTGTGTCTTTACCTGGTTTTAGCATCAGAATAACTGTGACTTCATAGAATGAATGTGCCACTCTTCCTTCACCTTATATTTTGTGGATCAAGTTAAGAAGAATTGATATGAGGTCTTCCTTGAAAGTTTAGTAGAACTCAGCAGTGACTACAAGAACCAACTACATGCTGTCTCCGAGAGACATGTTCTCATTTGCTTCTCTTTTGCTGTGATAAAGCAAACAATTCTGATCAAAAGCAACTTGGCGGGTGTGTGTGTGTGTGTGTGTAAGAGTTTATTTTGCTTACAGGTTGTAGCCTATCATTGAGGGAAGCCAAGGCAGGAATTGAAGGCAGGAGCGTAAAGCAGAAACCACAAAGGAGTACTGCTTACTTGCTCAATCACCCTGACTTGCTCAGCTGCTTTCCCGAGACACCTTAGGCCCACCTGTCCAGGGGTGGCATTGCCAACAGTGGACCAGGCCACCTCACATCAGTAAGCAATCAAGAAAATGCTCCTGTCCAGTGGAAGAAGTCCCTCAATTGAGGTTTCTTCTTTCCAAGTGCATCAAGTTGACAACTGAGATTAGCCTTTACAAGCCTATCCCTTGTCAACTTGACACACAAACATATCACTGTTAAATTATAACCTTTCCTTTGTCTTCCAGATCTTGAAGAATATTTATATCACAATATAAAACACAGTCCAACATTTAAAAGTCCCACAGTCCTCAAAAATTTCAACACTTAAAAGCCCAAGGTCTCTTTTTTTTTTAAATTGAAACTCTCAGGCCAGGCATGGTAGTGCATGCCTTTAATCCCAGGACTCAGGAGGCAGAAGCAAGCAGATTTCTGTGAGTTTGAAGTCTGCCTGGTCTACATAGTGAGTTCCAGGCCAGCCAGGGTTACATAGTGAGATTCTGTCTCAAAAACAAAACAGAACAAAAACAGAATTGAAAACAAAACCAACTCCCCCCTTCCATGCAAAGTCTCTTAACTGTGAGCTCCTGAAAAATCCAAAATAAGTCATATACTTTCTTATTCCAGGGAAGAACTAGGACACAGTAACCACTGGATCAAAGCAAAATCCAGTATCCACCAGTGCAAATCAAATCCTGTAGCTCAATGTTCAGCATCTGTGACTCACTCATTATCTTTTGGATCCAAAGGGCTTGGGCAGCTCCACTTCTCTGGCTCTGCCATCTGCAACACACACACAGCTTGTCTCGTAGGCTCAGCCTGGCTCCATATCCCTTCTGCTGCTGTCCTTGGTGGTCATCTCAC